TTCACTTCCTCTCTCGCTGTTACTCTCGTTTTGCCATTAAACCCGACCTTCTGCTTCCCCGCTCCCTCTCTCCTCACCGTCTCTGTATGAGGTAGTCCTCCAGGATATCCAGACAGCGCACCATCTGGGAGAAGACCAGGACTTTGTGTCCGCCGGCCAGCAGTTTGGGCAGCAGCTTGTCGATCAGCACCAGTTTGCCGGCCGCCTGGATCATCGCCTGCAGCTGGAAGTCTGGCGCGTCCGGGCTGTGGCACTTCCTGAAGCTTTCCAGGATCTTCTCCTCGGCTCCTGAAAGACAGAAAAAGGGTCAGAAAAGGTTTATTTATTCATACGACTTAAACCCACAGGGGATGTAAACACGAGAAGAAAAAGCAGCAGAATGTAATTTAAAGCAAAGAGCTTGTTGTTTTGCATTCTAGGCTGAACGACATGCAAATTAGATTAGATCGCAATTATGTCGACAGATATTTAGGATTTAGGAAAACAAGTCATGATTTTAGTGGAAATGGTAGTTTTTGCATTTTCTTTTTTTTTTTACGAAAAAATAATAATTAAAATCAGCGTCTTCTTTGAAACCACCTGTTCCTGTAGGATTGCTTTTATGTGATTTTTTTAATCATCTCGTTTTTTTTATTGTTTAAATAGATTTTGTAATTGTTTTTATTTCATTTGATCAGTTTATTCCCTTTTACATTTCATTTATTACTACTATTATTAGAATTGTATTTGTGGTTTTACCCTCTACTTTCTTTTAATCTACTTGTTCTTTTCCCTTTCTTGGATGTGGCTCATTTGGTGTTTTTATTATTTTGGCACTAAACAACTTCATGTTTTCACTTTGAAGGGCAGAATTTTTTAGTTTTTTATGGAATCTAGTGACCATAAACTATTAGTTTCTTTTTATTAAACACGTAGATTAAACTGGTTTTGATGAATTAAATTTAAATTTTACGACCGGATGATGCGCCACGTGAACATTTCCAGCATCGTTGTGAAGTTAAAACTTAACTATAATAATAATTTTGGTGATTTAAAAATGAATATGATGGAGGAGTATTGATTCATTTTGGAAATCTTTTACCCTGTTTTACTGTATTTTTCCCACTTTTGCCTCTCTGGTCTTTCTCCTTCTTTTATTATTTGCCCCATCTTTAAAGCGCTTTGTAAAGTTTGCTTTTAAAAGGTTTTAAATAAATAAACTTATTATTAATGTATTATTAAAATGATGTGATTCCTGTTGCAGTTGGCACCAAACCAGCATGTTTCCTTACATCTGGAGGATATGATCTGCAGACGACAGCGTCTCTGTTTCATCTATAATAATATGTTGTGACACATTTTACCTTTAACAAGGAACTGTAGCTCCTGCGCTGAAAATAACGCCGACATGAATCGCTGGATTTCATTGATAGAAATAAGAAAAACGTTTGATTGAATGTTTGCACAGACCAGACAGAGCTGAGACGGAAGGAGGATGAAAATAAAGAAGCAGTTAATGTTAATTAACAGAGAAGAAATTGAAAATCCCTTTTATGAGAGTATTTACTGGCCCTCTGCTCTCACTTTTCTATCTTTCTTTCAAATGAAGAAAATGATGAGGCTGGTTTTACTACTGAAGCGATGATGGGTGTCATAAGCATGGCTGAGTGCAGAAAAGTGAGCCGACATCTCTGCCTTACTGGTTTAAGAGGGTTTCTGTTGCTTATTCTGCTAAATATCGATCGATTCATTCACAGAAACAAGAAAACGTTTCATTGAATGTTTCACTTAAATGCAAGTTCAGCCAATCGTAACGGAGCTACGAGCGACACGGCAACAGCACGTCGTCGTTTGGTCGCTTTATCAGCACGCAAACTGAGCAAATAAGTGCAGACGGAAAATAGGAAATAGCTGGTTAAAAAAAAAGACAAGTCATCTCCTCAGCTCGGTCATTTGTTTGTTATTTCTCTCACGGTCTGAACTCTGCTGCGTGGAAACCGTTCTGGCCGGCGGCGGGAACACAGCAGACCTATCCCATCACCTCAGCCGCCTCCACCCTTCGGAGTGCGCAACATGCTGCCAGTCACGACAACACAGGACCTGCAGGGAGTCCACGACGGAACGGAGGGCGGCAACACGATCCGACAAAACATCCAAACTGCACAAAACTTCAGGAAGACTCTCAGCACAGAACTTCCTCAGTTTTATTCAGAGTGACGGGAACCCACTGAGAAAAGAGCCGTTATCAGTCGACTACTTTGCCATAAAATGCTTAAGTGGGTAAAATCTGATGTTTTTCTTCTGGTCTGTACTTAAAACACATCAGAAATTACTGACATCAACCAAAACCAAACATTTAAACCTTATATATAAACTTTAATTTATGTAATTCAATAAATAGGCTCAAGTGGTTCAATTTAAAGTTTTATGAAAAAAAGTTCTCTCGAAATGATCAGTGATTTGTAATTACAGTCGTGACTCGATAATCCAGCACTAAATGTAAAACCTTCTTTTATGTCGGATAGCAAGGCTGTCAGATTGTCAAGACGGAGGTGGAGATACAAGGAGGGCTTGATGGGTTAGGGTTAGGTTTTTGAAAATCTGTCTCGATAGCTTCCCCTGCAGTGTCCGTCGACACAGCAGTTTGAGGAGGGAAGTTAAAGGAAATGCACTGGCCGTCGCACGTTGTCAATTCTCTCTGATTCCTTCTAGTCATGGTTAGTGTCATATTGTTTTCTGACTTGCTCCGTTAGGTTAGAGTTTGTTTTGATTTGTGCTCTTGAGTAGAGATTGTAGTCTCTTTCTTTTGGGCTTCCGCCTTCGAAGTTTGTCTGGTTTTGGTCTTTGTTTTCTTCAGTAGTTGATTAATCTATTTTCATCACATTGTCCTGGCTGGTGTCACGTTGTTCTTCCAGAACGGGTTTTAGTTTCTGATTTTTTCAGTCCGTTTTGGTTTGTGTTCCTGGATGAAGTTGTGGTCCCTTTCTGGGTATACGTTTTGGATTTTGTCTTGTTTTCTTCCGTGTTCCCTTTCCTGGTTGCGTTGTCCTGGTCCATGTTGTTTATCTGAAAGGGTTTTGGTTTCCGTTTTGTTTTTTGTGTTTGTGACTCAAGACTGTGATCGTAGAAGAGTTGAGGGTGAGGTAAGGGGTAAAGAGAATAGAGTCCTGCAGGCTGAACGTAGCCAATCTGTGGGATTGTTCAGTCACGACTGTACATCAAAAGATTTTTAAAAAACGAGTGATTGGTTTATTAGTTAAAGACCCCTCCTGTGCCCTCATCCACACTCCGGTCGAGGCAGACGGCTGCCTTTCTGGTTCTGTCGGACGTTTTTGGTTTTTTCCCTCTTTGGATTGCTGGGTTCTAAGTTCTTTGTTTAAAATTCGTAAAGCTTTAATTGAATTTCGAACAGCCCTATTTGCAATTTTGGCAATATTTTGCATAGTTATAGTCATAGTTTATCACGTTGTGCTCAACTTGCTTTATTCTATAGCGTTTCGACGTCTTGTTGGTTGAGAGCAAGTAATTACAGTTCGCTAACAAGCTGCTCTTGTTGTCAATGTGTGATCAATATACGTGTCTGTCTGTAAATCCCGGTTGACTTCCTGCTCGTGTGCGCGCTCACCTGTGATCAGGTAGGGGTGGTTGCAGCACTTGCGGAGCTCCATCATGGTGTTGATGAGGTTGGGCATGTTGTGCTGGTTGGCTCCTTTGGACAGAAAGGAGAAGTTCTTCTCTAGGATGGCCCGGTAGTACTTCTTCTGAATGTTGGTCAGCTCCACCTACAGGAACACAAACACAAGGAGGAGATTATAATGTGTGCCGTTACGTTTGTTTGTCTCTTACCCCGACTGGTGGAGGCAGACGGCTGCTTCCCTGATCCTGGTTCTGAAGGAGGTTTCTTCATGTTAAGACTATGGCTAAGTGCTACTTCAAAGGCAATCATTTGGATTTCTGGGTTCCTCTCTACAATATTTCAACCCTGTGAGCTCCAAAACCTAAAAGTGGGCTTGGAAGCGTCAAAAATGACACCATTCATGAGAGTCAGAAACTGAACAAACAGAAAGAATTGTTGGATTTTTATCTTTCATCGCCTGTTACTTTCAGTTTTGTTGGTAAAATTTGCCAAATCTGAGTTTAAAATAGTGACATTTGCGAAATCACTATTTTAAATTTGCCAAAAATGAGCCCCGTCTGTACCAACAAGATTCTGTAAAAAACTAAAGATTCTGCACTTCTCAATGCAGCAGAGAAGCCACGGGCGACTCAGACTACTGCTGGATGCAGCTGTTAAAAATTTAAGGACATTTCAGCTGAACTGGAAAGAACTGCAGGCTGTGTCTACGCAGAGCAGACAGATTAAAGATGAAAAAAGCAAAATATCTAAAAAGAAAAAAGAGCTTGGATTTGTCGAGTGTTCGAGTGCTTCAGATGTGTTCATATCCTCCCATTAAAGAAGGAAAAATAACAGCTTCAGTCACAGAAATAATTTGAAATTGACAAAAGTAATAATAAATAAAAATTTAAGGGAAATCATGACATTGCTTTTGAATTGTGGTTCAGAAGACATATTAAAAAAAACAACAAAAAAACAAGCAAAGAAGCATGATGGGACCCGTAAACTAATATTTAGTTGAACAGCCCTCTGAGCCAATCAGGTGTTTTCTGTAACTCTCAGTCAGACGTCTGCACCTGTTGACAGGTGTTCTGGTTTCACTGCTCATCAGCAAAGTGCTCTAATTTTTTCAGTTTGTTTGTTTTTTAACATTATTCTTTTCAACCACAATTCAAAAGCAACGTCTTATTTCACTAAAATATAATTTAGCAAATTTTTATTTATTATTACTTTTTCCAGTTTGTAGTTATTTAAGTGACTTTTGTGAACTTTGCCTTTTCTTTAATGGAAGGGGACGAATACATTTGAGGACGACTGTATGTTTCAATAAGTTCGTAACTAGTTGAAAATTGGTAATATAATTAGTAATGCAGGGTCTTAACCTCCGTTATTTAATTTTAGGTCGGTTTAAATCCTTAAAATGGAAATATTTAGATCAAATAACAGCATAAATAAGACTGCTTTAACCTCAATATTTAAACTTCTAGATGGATTCTTAAGGCTAATTATACATTTCTACTGGAACAGCTGTTGTTTAAAATGTGCCGTTTTTCCTTTTTTTAATGACTGATGGTTTTATAACTGTGTCGTACTTGATGAAAGACATTTTTGAGTTCTTTCTACTTCCAGTCATGCTCGTTCTGTTTCCATAAAGGTGCAAAACTTCACATTGCAGGAAAAAAAAAAAAACGAGGCCACAGTGAGTAAAAATGTGAAACGAGTTCAGAGGCTAATAAGTTCCACTGATTAGTTGGTGCTGTATCAATAAAGCCGAACTGAATAAGTTAAAATGTTCATTAACGGGCTGGTAATGCAGAATGTTTTATGTTTTCTCCGCCTGCTGCCAAGGATGTAATCCAATTAATCGTACATCACCGTGCGTGTCAGTGTTACAAATCAGAAAACTGAACAATAAAACCATCCAACCGGTGATCTGCTTTATTTACGGTCCATCACAGAGCCGACACAGTTCGGCTGTTTCTAAATTCCCTTAAAGTTTTTGGGATCTGAAACTCCAGAAATTCAACGCCGGACCTTCCGTCTCTCTCGCAAACTGAAACTATAATTTGTTCATTTTAATTAGCTAAAAAATTTAGAAGTTAGCCGTGACTGAGGAGACTAATAAAGACTAATAATTGCGATAAAAACAAGTCTAATTACTGGACTCGTTATTGTCGCCGAGTGAATGGAGCTTTTGTCAGTCACATTTCATGAGTCATCCGAACCACAACAGAAGGGAGCGAGATAAAAATACTACAAATGAAAATGTGAGCGTATGATCATCTTTTATCAAACGCACACACAGATCTACCTCTATGATGGTCTCTTCTTTCGGCGCCAGGTTTTTTTCCACGTCGTCTTTCAGTCTTCTGAGCATCATGGGCTTCAAAATGGCCTGAAGCTTCTTCACCTGTTGGACAGAACAAAAGAGGAGCGAGTGTGACATGAAAGCAGATGTGACAGGAAAAAAACCAACACATTTCCTCGTCTCTTTGTGCCCAAACTGTGTTTTTTCTTTTTCAAATTGTAGTTTTTTTTAAACATAAGAACACAAAGCATCTAAAAAAAAAAACATGACTGGAGGGAATAGAAATGATAATAAAATACCAAAACCTGGGTGAATTCCAATTATAAGTAGCGTCTACGTGACAGAACAAACCTGTTCGTCCGTCTTCAGGTCTCCAAACTCCTCCAGGAAGGCGCTTTCTGAAGGAAACTGCAGCGGCTCCAGAAAGTTCAGCAGACTGAACAGCTCCTCCACCGAGTTCTGCAGGGGGGTTCCCGTCAGCAGAACCTTGTGTTCCTGTGGGCAGAAGTATCTCTGAATAAACGCGATTCAAACTGAACACAAGGGGAGGTTCAAAATGAGCCTCCACGAGAAAACTGGAGGAACAAGACGACGTATGAAGAGGTTTCTACGAACACCAGACTGACCAGGTTCATGAGCTTGAGCCCCTCCAGCAGCTTGCAGTTCCTGTTCTTCAGTCGGTGGGCTTCGTCGATCACCACGCAGCGCCAGTGCAGCTTCTTCAGCTCCGGACAGTCGGCCATGATCATCTCAAACGTGGTGATGACGCCGTGGAACTTGAGCACACCTGGGATGGTGTTGCCCTGTGACGGAGGGGAAAAGGTGGTTTCCAGTAAATGAAAGAAAGTCTCAAAAAGTTTTTATCTCCAAACACCACAGAGATGGTTCATTTGTTTATGACTGGACAGCTCCTGGTTTTAGTCCTTTTCTAAACAGGCAGGTTCAGTGTTTAAAAGCGGCTGAGCTGCTGCTGGCCCCGCCCCCTTCAGGAAGAAGACTGTCTCTGTCTGTGATTGACAGTGTGGAAGTCTTTGTCTAAATGACGATTTCACATGGAAATATCAGCAAATTCAGAGCTCAGCTGCTGTTTTCAGCTCATGCTTTAGGTGTCAGACGATGTTGTGGTTATAAAATCGGTATTGTAGCTGCAGAGCAAAAGCTTGAAAAAAGACTCTGAAGTGACTGCAGGTAAACATGTCGTCTATATACGCTACGTTTTAGTCACAATTTTATATTTATTCCATTGTCTGACAACAGAAACAGAAAAATATGTCAATGAAAACAGCTTTACTGTGAGTTCAGCTGTATTAAAATGCAGTTTATGTGAGCACAGATGCTAACATCCGCTGAGTTTAGGTTGAACTGCAGCTCGCCAGGCGACATACAAACAGTTAAATTCAAGTTTCCACAGAGTTCTGACCAGTGGGTGGACCACCAAAGCTAATTTTAGCCACACTAGCTGCACAATAAGCTATGGATTGTCCAATTGTTGTGGGGACATGACCATCAATAACAACAGTAATCCACTGGGTGTTCACTTCCTCAGATGCTGGGAGTGCATGAAGACTCTCGTGTTCACTCTAACAGCAGAACATTTGGTGAGTTTTGCTCGTGGCTCAGACATTTTAACAGAAGATCTAGAAAGTAAATAAACCTGGTGGACTGTGAGGAAGTTGCTAATTCTGAGTGGCACACACATTTTTAATTGCGACTGCTACTGCTGAGAGGATATTTAGTTGATCCGTGGTTAGAAAAGTGGCAGAAGAAAGCGTCTTCATATTCCTGTACCTTTTATTTTACGCCTTCAAGTATTTCAGACACTAAAAACACAACGCTAATAGATTGTCGCCATGTGGGGCCTTTAAAACATCAGGGGTCCTTATAGTCAAGTGGTTCTGGAGAGGATCACATCCCCGGTTCAATTTCAATTCCAGTCAGTTGTTTCCTTTCTGCCGTTTTGCTGCTTTATCAAATAAAAATATAATCATTGAAAATAAAAATAAAAAGCCCATCATATTTGAGATTTCTGAGATGAGTAACATTTACTGTCTCCTTTCACTTTGAACTTTTTAATTAAATCACAAAACGCCTCCAAAAAAAAAAAGCTAAAAACTGCTTAACGGCCGAATTTATTAGGACCCAAAAATTAACATTCACTCCTCTTGCATATCTGCGGGAAGCCAAATTAAAACTTGCATATTAGATGCGTGGAGCATTGTAATGATAACCCCTCTTCTGTATTCATCCAACAGCAACAAGAGCCCTGCTACGACACTGAATATTTATACCGAGCGGCCTGAGAGGGAAGAAAAAAAAAAGAGTCGTCGTGGCCAAAACGCTCCGCGATGAAACCGTCTGACGTGCTGATGGCTTCAGAGGGATGCAGCAAGGTGAGGTCAATAAACGAGATAAATGAACGTCTGTCACATTCTCAGTGCAAAAAGTCCTTCGGGGTTGAAGATGGACGGAGGGGGGAAGACAAAAAGACGGTGGAGAAAAAGGAAGACGCTCAGCAAAAATCACAGGTTAGTGTTTTCTACCAGAGCTGATTCTTAACCCTCTGAACTCTAAACAGTTTCTGGGTGTGTTGTCTTCACTGTGGACTCATTTTCCACTGAAACAGAACAACCATGAAGAGGGAGAGAGCTGTTATATGGAAGTTCTTCAATTACTTGTTTTAGAAAATTTCTAAAAACTTGGAATCAACACATGTTTCCAAGTACCCATAGGTGTTACCAACACTAGAAAAAAAAATGGCGACTCCAACTTGTTTCCTATCCACTTTGTGTAAACACTGCCTGCAGTTCAGCCGAAAAATGCTCAGATTTTTTGTGACATTCCAGTCGGTCGTAGCTCAGTCGTAACCAGCTTTCCGGTAGCACAGAAGAGTGCAAAATTTTTATTTTTTTGCAGATCCTGGTAGGAGCAAATGGTTTATTTTTAACAATTTTTAAAAAATTGAGACATGTAGAATTAAGAGATTTGGATGATGAGTAGTTCAAGTACCTTCTAAAAGTCCAAAAACTTCCAATTCATTCTGTTTTTATTGTTTCTGGCTCTGATAAATGATGTCGTTCGGCGATTTTGTAAAGACTTTCGAATCCAAAGTCGGGTTTTTTGGGCTTCTAGGATTAAATCTTGAAAAAAAACAAGCCGAGGACAAACCCCAAAACAGAAGGACGATAAGTTCTGCCGCATCGAAAGAAACAGCTCGAGGGACACGACAAAGAGCTTCACAATCCACTTAAATCACAGAATACACCCCCACAGTCTCATATCTACGCCTCCAACCGATCAGAATTGGTTTGGGGGTACGAGGAAGACCTACACAATATGAGGCACGTGGTTTTAAACGTGAAAACCTTTTTAAAACCTCCAGATTCCCAACAGAACAACTGCATCCAAGGGGCAAATTTCCTTTCAAAGCATAACCAGACACGCTTCACATCTTTAGGTCGATTTGACTTTCACAACCCGACTCATTGATTGCGCGATCAATGGAAGCTTCAGGACCGTTACCTGCGGGTCTCTGTGAAACATCTCGTACTGCAGGATCATCTGGCGGCTGATCTGCGAGCCGTGATACACGATGACGTTCATGCGCGTCCACGTCCGAAACTCCCTCTCCCAGTTGGTGATGGTGGAGAGCGGGGCGATGATGAGGAAGGGTCCGCGGATGCCCATGCTGAAGATCTCGTACAGGAAGGTGATGGACTGGATGGTCTTACCCAAGCCCATCTCGTCTGCCAGTATACAGTTTTTCCTACGATGAAAGAAAAAAAAACAAAGGCGGCGTGAGAAACCCAGATAGCGTCAGGATCGGCTAAATCGGCCTCATGTTCTGCCATAATCCTGAATACACAAAAAAAACTTCCATTTATGCAAATCAGTACAATAATTAAGCTAATTAATGCGTCACTATCTGTGTAAACATACTTGTCTCGACGTAACACATTGGTGACATTTATGTGAACTCTGCATCTCGAGGCGGCAGAAACGAGTCTCAAGAAAAACAGATGTTCCGAATTAAAAATGCTAATTTATGGTCAAATCTAATCAGAAAATGTACGTAAATAGAAATAAGTGCGGTTTATGAGCACGGGTTGGAATTTTTCTAAAATGTCCTTGAGTTTATTGAAGGAAGCCACATGAAGGTTATTTATTCAAGCGGATTCGAAACAACAGAATCCGCCTTGAAGGGTTTCGTGTGTTTGATGATATCATGAAAACTTGAGAAACGTCGAATGCTGAGTGAGTCATCGGCGTTACTAAGAAACCCGCTGTCACTCTGTTGTTTACAACCGCACAAAACAGTAAACCGGATGCTCTATGTACAGTTGAAACCAGGAGTTTACATTCACTGCATATAAAGACGTAAAATCTTAATAATAAAAAAAGAAAAATCAAAAAAAATTTCTCTCTCATTATTCTGACGTTTAGCAAATAGAAATAATTTTGGGAATCCTAACTGACCTAAAACAGGAAAAGTTGAGTCTGATTTAATGTCAGACTGAGAAAAAAAAAAAGGTTATGTGTCTTTTTATACAGTAAACTTCTGTTTTCACATGTAAATGTACTGCTGGCTGGGCAGTCACAAAAATCTAGGTATCAAAATTGTATATAACACAAATTGTACACACAACACTTTTGTTTCTTGGGAGGTTTTTTATGGTTTATACGTGCAATTAAAATAAACTCTTCAACTTTCATCCTTCAGTGTTAACTGGATAATTGCTGACAATTGTTAATTGCATCAGAGCCAGAAATACACATCTTTAAATCAATCAGTAAGAAGAAAAACAAAAGATAGTATCACCAATAATCCGAAAAAATGCTGAAAATCAGATTCAATGGCCCCTAATACTCAAAGATTTAGTCCAAGTTGGATTATTTTTCATTTCAACCATTTTTAACCATTTTAATCTTTGCAGCCAGTTGAACCAGTTTGTTTAGTTTGTGTCTGTTTTATTTCAAACCAACTTCACTCGTTCTCTGACCAAAACCAGCCGTCGCTTCAGCCCTAAACGTTGACGACCGGTTCCAGTGTCGTCGTGAACTCACCTGTTGTACCAGTTGAACAGCAGCCAGTTCATCCCCTCCAGCTGGTATTCTCTGAGCTGGTTTCCGTTGCGGTAATCTCTGGACCGCTCCAGCTTCTGCCATTTATCTGGAGGAGGACGTTCCTGTGACATTAACACACAAACATATTCTTTATCTTATTTAGCACCAACAGACTCGTGATTCTAATCATTTAGAATCGGTTTCTACTACAGCGATTTCACTCGACAAAACCGGGACACTGTCCGATATTAAAACTGTTTAGCTTCCCCCTGATGAATCAGAAACGAGGTAAAAAAGAGTCGCCCCAGTTTTTACGGTTAAGGCGGGATGATTTCGGAGGCTGAATAAGAAAATAAGCAGTTGGACAGATGGGCGCTGCCAGGCCGTAATAAGCGACGATGCTAGTTTTGAAAATTCATAATGGCAGAAGAGCAACAGTAATGTGCTCAGGTCTCCCTCCTGCATGTCTCCGGAAAATTGCAGCTATTTAAGCAGCAATTTCGTATTCAAGCATCCTGCAAAGTAAACGCACTGTCAGAGCGGTCAAGAGACGCTCGGCGCCGCTCGCCTTTGCCTCGCAGTCGAACACATGGAGAAGATTGCAGGTTGCGGAGCGACGCGAGTTCCCACTTCTCAAAACTTTCACAAACCTGATCCGAGTGGGAGCTCTAGGAAGGAAGAGGGCCCTGATCATTAGCGCCAGAGGAGGAAATCAAGGCCGAGGCGGTGGATTCAGAGGAGGACGGCTGCAGAGATGTGGGCAGAGAGAGGCTTAAGCCGAAACACATAAAAGCCGTAACGGCGCTTTATTCTTCTATGATCTTCCACCGACCTAAACTCCGAATGTAAATGTTTTTTCGTCCACTTTCTCCACTGAATTGCCGCCCACGTCGCCGCATCCTTTCAGAGATTCAAATAAGTCTGAGCTACAAAGCAAAGTGTTTAGCAGCACGGAAACGACAGCACTGTTGTAGAAACAGCAAAAAATAAAATCCCTGCATTCTACTTGAGAGACGCCGCATCGACCGAGCAGCAGATTCTGGAAATTACAGGATGATTATGTCGGTCTGTGCAGAGTAATGAGGGGCAAAAACAGCCTCTTCTCCCAAACAGACAGAGGTCAGCGTGATGTCAGGCTGAATAATGAAGTGAAACCAAATCGTAATTCAGACTAATTATCAGGCCGCTAAACAGTCGCACTCTTTTAGGTGTAGACCCCCATTTTTGAAAGATTTAGTTTCTGGCCGTTATTTTACGTTTTTCTTCACTGTGGGCTCATTTTTCGATGCACCTGCACCTCTGTGGAAGCAGAACAA